ATCTCTATTTCCTCCCCCTCTACTGTTTGATTATGTTATATATACTACATCTATGTATGTAGTTAACCCAACAGCATAGTTCAATAATTATCACTTTATATGCTCTTACATCATTTAAAGAAAGTAAGAGAAGAAAAAAGAAAAATATATTTATACAGTCTTTTATATTTACCTACATGTTTACCATTTCCAGTGCCTTTTATTTCTTCCTGTGGATTCAAGTTACTGTCTGATATCATTTCCTTTACTTTGAAGAATTTTGTCTTTTTAGAATTCCTTTAGTATTTCTTGTAAGTCTGCTAGTCACAAATTTATCTGGGAGTGTTTTGTTTTACCTTCAGTTTTGAAGGATAGTTTTCACTGGACATAGAATTCTTGATTGAATTTTTTCTTGCTGCACTTTGAATATATTATTCCAGTGCCTATTGCCTCCTTGTTTCTGATGCTAAGTCACCTGTTGAATATATTGGTATTGCCCTGTATACAATGTTTTTGTTTTTGTTTTCTGGCTACTTTTAAGGATTTTCTTTGAGTAGTTTGTCTATGATGTGTTTAGGTGAGGATCTCTGTGAATTTGTGTTACTTGGAGTTTGATGAGTTCCTCAGATCTATATATTAATGTTTTTCCATCAAGTCTGAGAAGTTTTTGACCATTATTTATTTGAAAAAATTTCCAGCCACTTTCTCTCTTCTCTTTTTTGGGGTCACCATTATATCTATCTTAGTAGGCTAAATGTGATTCCATGTGTCTCTGAGGCTCTGCTAATTTTTCTTCAATTTTTTTCTCTTCAGATTATATTATTTCTATTACTTATTTCAAGTTCACCGATTCTTCTGTCATCTCAAATCTGCTCTTGAGTCCATTTAGTATATTTTTCATTTGGGTTATTATACAAGTTTAGAATTTCCATTTGGTTGTTTTAGATAATTTCTATTTCTTTATTGTTATTGTGGAGTCTCTATCATATTTTCCTTTAATTAAAAAAAATAGCTTTTGTTAATTTTTTGAACATATATTTGATAGCTACTTTAAAGTCTATGCTTGCTAAATCCAACATACGGGCCCACTCAGAGACAACTTTTGTTAAATGCTCTGCCCTCTTCCCCACCCCCAAGTATGGGTTACACTTTCCTGTTTCTTTTCTTTTTTGGATGTGTTGTAAATTTGTGTTGGTAACCAACTGGACATGTAAAATTATATATTATAGCAACTTTTGATTCTGATTTTCCACCTCATGTTTTTTGTTTGTTTATTGCTCCTTTTTGTTGTTGTTGCTATTTGTTTTTAAGTAATTTGACTGGATTTAATCTGTCTCCCCTGTGGTTTGCTGCTGTCTCTGCCCATTTTTAAAAAAATTCTCATTTTTATTTTTTAGCCTAGGGTTACTCTTATTCTTCATAGCTTAATGGCATGTCATGGTGGGTCTGTGTGTGGGTTGGAGAGTGCATTCAAAGTTCAGGTAGTTTTCAAATCTACCATGACTTTTACTTTCTACCTGGCCTTCTCAGTTCTCCTCTGTACATCTGCTCAGCCTCCCAGCCAGACAGGAATGTGTGAAGAGCTTGGAGTCTGTTGGGGGCTGCATGTTTGTTCAGCTTCCCTCGTCTCTAGGGATGTGTGAATAATTTATCAACCCCTTCGATGACTCTTATTTCCAACACTTTCCTGGAAGATCCCTGTTAAATTTCTGGCTAGTTCTCTTGGCTGCTGCAGCCCCAACCAGGACTTAACGCTCAGGCTAGGAGAGCTGCAGGTTTTTCCATTTGCCACTGTGAGTGTGAGTTTCCCATCCTCCACTCCCAAACATGTCAGCCCTTCTGGCTAACGAAGCTGCTAGTTTCCACTCTGGGAGAACTACCACGCTGAATGAACTAGGGTGGGGAATAAGGGCGGCCTCAGGCAAGAACGCCACAGGCTGCGTAAAGGTTCACTTCAAGTTCAGCCGTTTTGAGAAGATAAGCGCTTCTCAATTTGTTGCCTTTGGTTGATTTCTAGAGATCTCAAATCGTTGTTTTTGACAAATTTAGTTTTATGCCTACCTTTTGGGGACAGAATATGGATCTTTTCACTTCTCCATAGCTGGAAGTCTCCTGCTTTCACTTTAGATTTTGCAAAATTCTTACTGCCGTAACAGATCTTAGAAGCTTTTCAGGAGATTTAAAAAATATGTTTTACCCAACATTTGGGATGGGGTGGGGGGTGTATTTTCAGTGGGAGGGTCGGTCCAGATACCTAGTCAGCTGTACAGAAGAGAGTTAATACTTTCTCAGTTTTTTTTCTAACCATTAAATGAAATTCTTTAAGCAAAGAATTTAGCAAAGTGTCTGAAAAGGCGGCCCATAAACAGTAGTTATAACAACATCTGAACACTTATAGGAATTTTATATACACTATTTTATTTAATCTTAACTCTAAAAGGTAGGTATTCCAATTTTAATATTAGCCAGAAAAATATATACTAGACCAAGGACATACAAGTAGTAAATGGTGGAGCCAGGCTCTCAATCCAAAACTACTGAATTCCAAAGCTGGTACCTTCCTCACTTTACCATGCTGCTTCCATTGTGGAGGGGATTTCAGTGGCTGCTCTTTGGGGGTAGCCTCTCTAGGAGGTAGTAAGGAATTAAATCCATTACAGGTATTAGGGATAGGGCTTATATACTAATTGGCAATGACCCAAATCACAGTGGGGCATAGATTCCCAAAATCAGACAGGGCTTTTGCTAAGACAATTAACAAATGACTGTAATACGGTATCTGTGTATCATTTAAACTGATAAGGTTTTAGAGTCCTATATGATATTTGCCCAAATTCCGATTGCCCAAATTGTATATACAATGAACAATGAAATCTGAACTAAGATTACCACAAAAATATCTAAACAACTGAACTTCATCCCATTTTAAAGCCTATAAATATATTTGGGAATTAAATAGCAAATATTGAGAAAGTTGACTCTTGGATTGGTAAATTTTATTTGAGTGATTATGAATCTGGTCCTCATTTCTCTATATCCAGAAACTACAACCTAAGCTACTGCAAAAGACTTTCTACTTGGCCTCTCCACTTCCAGCTCCTCTCACCTTTTTTTTGTTTGATTAAAACACTGCCATTTACTAAAGTGCCAACTTCCACACTAGCAAACCAAACCTCTTCTTGACCAGTCACTATAATTATAGTCACTAGAATTCTTTTCACCTTTGATCTGTTTTTTTATAATCACACCTCACCAATCTTCCTAAGAATGTTCTTTAATCATGTTGCTTCTGTGTACTTCCTCATTGCTTACTATTATCCTCTCAATTATTCATCCCTAGGCCATTATAACGTGGTTCCCAGTTGATAATAGAACTCTCTGTCTCTCACAACTCCCTGTCCCCGGTGGGCTCATTTACTCACTTTTTTTTTCATCCTCTACTCTTACCACCTTAATTCTCACCTCCAAACCTCTGCTTATGCCATTCTCCCTACTTATTCTTCCCTGCCTTTTGCCACTATCTCCTTTCTTGGAGCATACTCTTTACTCTGTTTCACTTACCCAAAACTTACAGGTCCTTTAAAATGAAATGCTTTCATTCATTCAGTGGACATTTGTTCATGCCATGCAGAGTAAGCTCCAAAAGGTGTTTTTCCTCAGATAATTTACCAAAAAAGGCATTATCATTTTTATTCCACATCTAGCCTAGTTGTGGCTCCACAGTAGGGGGAAATCTCACTTTAGTTCAATTGATACATCACTTTTATCCCACTTTTGACTCTCTCTAACTTTAATATAATTAGTAGATGAATCCTTCACTCCCTTGAGTTATACATCTATCCGAGGCAATCTATCTTATTTTGGATCTTGTCTCTTCTGGGCCTATGACACAGCACATGGTTATAACAACGTGACAAATATATATCAAAGGAAAAAATGATAATTACAAGTGAGTCTCATAACTGAGATAGTCATAAACTATGTCGTACAATAGTCTCCTTCTTAAAATCACAAAACTATTAATATTTGAGTACATTAATTATTTTGCTTCATGCTGTACAAGCAGCCAAGAGATAACAGCTTCCCTTTAGTAAAACAAACAAATAAACAAAACTATTCAAATACTTGGTTTGTTTTCATCCCATATTTCATGTTTCTTCTTTGTCATCTTTTTGCTACCCATTCTCTTCCCCATGTTTTTGACAGTTAGCCATCGGTGCAGATAGAATGAAATAAAGAATTGTCATAGATATTTTACCATTGCAATCAGCCTCCTTGTCTCAGTCTGATTCTTTCCTATACTTATGAGGTGAGGGAAGGAAGGCGATAGAAAATGATGTTAGGGAAATGAAATGTGTTTAAAAGAGCAAAGGACTTAATAATAAAAGAGGAAAAAAACAAAGGCAAAGAAGCATAGGGGAAATATATTGATGTTCTAGAATTGTTTTTACTCACTTTAGTGGAAATGAACAAGTCTTTCACCAACACCTACTGGCTAGTATAAGACCACACATATTCAAGCAATTAAGAAAAAAATGCATTCAGATAAAAATATTTGATAGCACCTCAACAAAAATTATGTGGGTGAGGCAGAATGAAGAGCATTGGCATGATCTGTGGAATTGTCTTACCTATGGTGGCTTTCTCTTCTGTTAGCACAGATCATCACAGTTGGTTGCAAAAGCCTACATTTCATTCATTAACGGTGGCCAAAGGCTTATTGCCATTTCAAAATATTTTACTTGGTAGTACATATAAGGATATATCACTGCTGTTCTTGCATTCCAAGGTATTTGAAAATTCCATAAAAATAATTTTGCTTTCAAAAAGTCAATGGACTTTCATTTAATTTTATCTGCCTGTGCTCTAGAAAACAAGAAACAAAAGAAAATGTTGGACTAGTTATGCATACATTTGAACTGTAATGCAGGACAAAGGGAGAATATTTCATTTTTACTTAGGCAAACTGCTGAAAAAAAATAACAGTAGTTATACTCTTTTAGCAATCTGCTGCTTCTTACCCAAAACATAAATCTCATTGTTGACTACAGCTGTGCTGAATCGGTACTTAGAGTACTTCATAGGCGCCCGCTCTGTCCATTGATCTTGGCTGGGGTCATACTGCAACAGTTTGTTGCTTAATCGATCAGGTTCTTCATCAGGAAGATCCATCTGTATGAAATATGACAACCAATATAATAAAATACTATTTAAAGATCTCTGTGAGTACATGAATGCAATTAATCAAAGCAGATGGCCAAAGAGATAGAGGTTAACTGTAATGACTCAAACTCACAAACACACAAATCTCACGACTTGGGGTTATAAGTACACTGTCAATATCGGATAAATTTATATTCTGTAATAATGGGGCTAAGGTGTTGGGTTACAGCAAACAATCTGTGATCTTAGCAGTAAGACAATGTAGCATTTTTTAAAAACTTAAGCAACGAAGCCTTAAAAATGAAACCAAGCTTTCTAGAATAGTGTAATTTTAGTTTGCCAAACTTCATAACGGTGAATTTTAATATTTGTGAGAAACTATTTTAATAATTTATAAGGCATTTTTCATAATATTTTTCTAATTCAAATGGAGCAAAATTAAGAAAACATTTTAGTGTTCTAGTAATTAGAGTATTTTTATCCCATAATTATGCCCTATATAAGAACAGTATGAATTCAATTTTCAAGATATATGGATTAATATAAGTTATTTGCAGTTATTTTATGTATTTATTTTATATATTATGTATTTATAATATATATGTATATATTATATATATATGACTAGAGACAGTACAAATTGAATAACTGCTTATTCTCAAACACATGTATGTGGTTTCTCCTACTCATAAACTTCAGGTGAAGTAATTTTGTTTTCTGCAATGTGTCAGGAACTTTTATGATTTCAAGCTAAGGATGATTAAGTGTCTTTTATTTTTTTTGTTGTTTTGGATGCAGGTGTTCCACACAAAAATAATTGCCATATTTATGAAAGTTGTGTGCAATTAATTTTAGTTAATTACATTAAATGAATAAAGAATTATGATCATTATGGTTGCAATCACAACCCATGTTACCTTGCAATTTAATGTATTGTATTATGTACAGACTAGCAAAAGCTTTTGTTATGCAGTAAATATTCACATGTCATCTGTCCAAAGACATTATAAATTAACAAATGTTGACTTTATTATTTTAATTCTCCTTCTAATGTAAATATTGTCTTCTAATGTAAGTATTTAATCTATTTTAGTGAAAGAAAAGTAAGAAGCTTCTAAGATATCTTTGGAGCTTATTCATGCAAAATGAACTATGTAGTGGATAGTTCTGAAAAAGCTTAATTACAAATAATTTGTCAGTTATCAGCTACTAGCTGTGATTAAATCTGTACTTCTTTTTGATACATAGCACAAAATTTTAAATGTACTAAAGGTAAAGTTTAAGTTTTAAAACAGGGATGATATACTGTAAATGATGAAGTCCAAGCTTATGAAATGAATACAAAAGCATCGGTTTTATCATGAAGCAAATATGGAGAAACAAGAAATCACATAGGCAAAAATAAATTTACTTTATGTCATTTGAGTGAACAAGGAGCTAGTAAGATTAATTTCTATTAAAAGATACTAGTTGGCCAGGGCAAAAGGCAGCTAGAGTGATACTACCGTGAGAGCTCCAAGGCACTGGGAGGAACACCCAAGAGAAAATAAAGGGCTACTGTGGTCATTACTCCACTGTGTTTTCAGTTTTGCCTTGCCATCACTTTGCTGGGCTTCAATACAAACGGTATTGTTTCTCTGTTTGCTGATGCCCAGCAAAGGCATAAAGTGTTTAAAATTACAGTATACTTTTGTGGAAACAATTGTGCCAACACAGGATGAGTATTCTGATTTCCTACTTAGAGTAAGAGTTTTAAAAGTGGAAAAGACATAAGAGTTACTTGCCTCACATCATACAGCTCTTAACCAGATAGCACTGGGGTGAGGACCCAGCTTCTCTGCCCTCTCCTTAGGTGCTCCCAACAGATAATCCCTCAGCATAAGCATTTTTCATAATTAGCAAGATGGAAAGAATTATGAAGAACACAGCATGAATACAAATGAAGTCATGTCTATGATTAACACACTTTAAATTTCATTCTCCTATACTGATTTAACACTTTAAAATCTTAAGTTTAATATTCTATAAAATAAGAAGTATTTTACCAAAATGTAAGTCATACTCTTTTAGTATTCAACGACTACATTTTTCAGCATAGCAGCCAGACTCAGCATAGCCATGCCAATTAGGTATATAGGAAATTTCTTAACCTGAGGGGTCCAGCCTCCAATCACATGAAGTTTATTATTCACTGTCACTACAGCATGACACGCCAATTGTAGTGGGAGGGGAGACACTCTTTTCCAATTGTCCCATTCTACAGAGTACTTATCAACACAGTTTGTAATAAGATACTGGTTTTTAATTTTCATCTGTCCTCCTATAACATAGAGGTCGTTATGGACACTGCCCAGAGCATAGAGCTCTCGAAATTCAGTTGTGCATAACTTTTCCCAAGACTGGTTTCCTCTATCATGATACCTATAAATTAACACAGAGAAAAGACTGGATTAGAGTTAACATGAAAACAATTTATCCAAGAAACACACTTAAGTTTCTTTTCCAACTAAAAATGACATGATTTTGTTCTAATTAGAGAGGAAAAAACATCAATACAAGATAGTGATACAGGTTTATGGGGTTTTTTTGTTTTGTTTTTTATTTTGTAAGGACTGATGAGGAAAATACAATGTGCATAGGAAACATTAACCACACCTACCTGCAGAATTTTAGGAAAAATAGTAGATTGAAAAAACAAAGATTATCTAGGACTAGCCATCATTTCCTAATTCTGGGAAATAAAATCAATAACAAATAGGAAAGTCTTACAGCAAATCATCTGTAATTTTATCATAAAAGAATAAGTAAAAATAAAGAAAAAAAGTCTCATTCTATGGAATAGAAGCTTCACTTTCACATTACATTAAAGAAATCAGTTTTAGAGCAGAAAATCTGAAAATATCTAAATTCAGAGACCTCTGATGGGATGATGTAGGATGTGTAGAATTTTAAGAATTATTCTTAGAGTTCTAACTGGCTTAGAACAGCATCAAGAGCACCTGTAGGTATATAAAAACCCATCTGCAGGTGTCTGCTTGGCATTTAACATCTATTTTAATCCCCTAAGTATGGCAGTTTCAGTTATTTTTTCCATGAATAATTATGTCAGCCTGAGAAAAATCTTGGGAGGTAGGGACACTAGGATATATGGTCTCTCAGTACCTCTGGGACTACAAAACATGAACTGATTATCTGTGTGTGCATGTGCATGTGCATGTGTATGGCATTACATAGTCACTAAGTATATGAATATGTGGCTATCCTTTGTCTTGCTTCTTGATAGTGGTAAGCATATTTTATCAAATCATGATTTCAGACACATAGTCTATGAAGGACACAAGTATTTACGGAGACAGTGGGGTAAAATATGTGATATTAGATCTGTTCTAGAAAATCCAGAAAGCATACCTGGACTTCAAAACTTAAACAAAACAAAAAATAAAAACAGGAAAATATGGGAAATAAGAAAAAAAGTTCTGTTTGGAAACAAATGAAGAAATTATGTGTGTGCTCTATACAGAGTATAATTTTAAAGTATAGACTACTTTTTTATGTCAAACATTTGATATTTGATCATATTTATAGGAGTTTTTCCCAGTTGTCATAGGTAAACTCTTACATTCTTCTCCAGAAATAACTTTTTACTTTAAGTTTGACAGGAAAGTTAGAAGATTATGCGCCTTTCCTAGTGGGCAGGCCTGGCTTGTCACAGGCTGAATGCAGAAATTTATCAAACTTCATGATAGCTGTCTTGTATGTAATTCTAGGTAAGAAACAAAAGTCCTTAGAACACAGGTATTTTCACTACTATTTTTAATTGTACTGGGTTTTAGAAGAGAAAGAAGGATTAGGTATTTATAGGTGGGGGCTACTGAAGTAAAGCCAATGAATGAACTATATACATAGAACTAAAAAAATGGAGTTTGGTTTTTCTGAGGCATGATTCAAGAAAACAGGCCAAGAACAAAATACAATACATGAGGGTTGGGATGTACAAGTTTTCTGGGCAACTGAATAATCTGATTTTTATGTTAACATTTTGAACAAAAAATGGGGAAAGAAAATGCTAGCTAAAACTATAAAATTTATTATTAAGAAAAATGGATATGACATAAAAAAGAAAATAACAGTGACAAAAGCATTCAATGTTCTCTGAGGTTGATAGTTTAAAAATAGCATGTATCTTCAGCTGTTTGTATATCAAAGTATGGAAGATAAGTAAAGGAGATGGAAAGGTATATCTTTTTGAAAAGAAACCAGAGTACTAGTTTACTTCCTCTTTTAAGTTGAAAAGAAATATATCTGCATGAAAATCTATGAACTATAAATTAGGGGCAAATTGAGGAGCATCTGGGCAAAAATATTATAGGAAGAATACCACAAGATGATGATTTCTCACACACATCACAAAACTGGCACTAAATTAATCTTCAGCAGTGCTATAAGATTTTAACTATGCCGACATCTGCTGGAAGTCTCATTTAAGCCCAAGGCAATGCTTCTAATAATTTCATTACTTGCCTTGCTGACAGTTTCATTATTGGAGGAAATGAGGAGGGCAACTGATACTTTTACCCTAATTCTGATGGACGTGGAGGAGCTGGTCGTTGATGGGAACCTGGTTGAGTTCAAGATAGATAAGAAGGGTATATAGCCAGACATATGCAGCAAGAAAGGGAAGCAGACTTTCAAAAGAAGAAGAAAGATGTTTGAAGGTCAAAACAAAAAGACACTTTGACAGGATTGGACGTTTATTGGGAAAAAATTCTGATAGCAGTTTTGTGGCCCATTTTGATGAGAAAGAGAAAGAGTTATTTAAAGAACCTGAGGTACTTCTAACAAGGGGCTTTCAGATGGAAAGAAGGACATCTAACCAAGAGCAAATAAAACCAAGAGCAAATAAAACAAGTGGTATGGATCTATAAGAACCATGTGGGGAAAACCAAAGCTTCCTCTTCCTGTAAGGACTGATACCCTGGCTCTGTGTTCTATACCTGATTAATTCTGAAGAAGTCTGCACCTGCTGCTCAGTGACACGCTCTGCCATGATGGGGATGGGTCCAGATCACTCATCCAGGGCTCTGCATTCCCTCCCCTCTCTATACTAGAAGAGATGAGGCGTGTCTCCAAAATATGAATATGGAAAAGGGACAGACCGATAACTTAAAACTGATAATGGAATTCTAAGAGTCGACAGAAAAATAGTAGACCTTTTAATTTTTTCTTTGTCCCAACTTTACTGTCAAGAAGAATTACCTTCTGTCTGAAGTCTTAACAAACCCTGGTAAGAGGGAACTGAGAGGAAAAGGATATTGAAGGAGAGCTTTACTGTCTAGTATGTATTCTGTGTGCATATTTGTTGTTTACCCAATTAGGCTGAAGAGCTGAATACTAAACACTTGCTGAATAAAGAGTAAACAAATGTAAGTGTCCTCGTTTGCTAAACCTAGATGATACGCTACTTCTTAGCAGACACCTTTGTTCTTACAATTCTAGGGTTAAAGCATTCTTACTGAGGCTGCTAACATTTTAGACTATTAGAGGGTTAGGAAAGATCCACAAATTAAGGATAGAGGATGAAAACTGACAGATAATTATTAACTTTTATTTGCAAAACAATGACTTATTACTCTGAAGTAGGAACTAAAAAAAATGCAGTTCAAAGAAGTCAGTGGTAATAAACTCCTCTTCTGGTTAAAAGTTATATCAAGCTCTTCAAAAACAAAGCAAGGCATTCCATCCTATCATATTGATAAATTAGACAGAATGAAAATATACAATGGAATCACAACATACATACACTTAACTTATGCAAGTTCAACTACATGTTCTTAACAAAAGGAGATAAAACATAATTTTAAAATGTGGGTGATTGCATTGTGAATTTTACATATATGTAAAATGTGTAATTACAGGATAATTTGACTACATGTCATTTAAGACGTCATCACTCTTTCAGCGGTACTTTCTCCTACTGTTGCTAATGTCAAAGCAATATAATGAAAATATATTTATAAATATAGTGCTAGATACAAACCTATAGATTTCAACATTCTTGTTCTTTTGTCTGGAGAGTTTAGAGGCACTTGCTTCTCCAGCCACAATTATAGCATTGTTTTCCATGACAACACCAGCACACACGGTTCCTAAACCCTCCCCATACTTGGGAGACGAGATAAAGTAGGTCTTCTGTGATGCAGGGTCATAACAAAAACTGGCATCCCCATAGTTCCTATGTCTTGACCTGATTCCTGAAGAATTGGTGCCAATGCAAAGCAAAAGACTAGTAGTCTCCATGCCATAACGAAGATTTAGAGGGTGTTGTTGGGGTGTCTTGAAGCCTTTGAATGTGTTTTGAATTATATCAATGCAATTTGCATCACATAGAAGCATTGTGTTCCTTTTTAAGGCTTGTCTTAAAAAAGAAGGATTTATAAGTTCCAATCTGACTTGTTTCAAAAGCTCAGCAAGGTGCTCTTTGCGCGATTCTTGGTTATGATTTACCCATCTCAGAACTAAGTCCAGAATGCTCTCCTCTCTGGATATGTTAAGGTCATCTGATTTAATAAGCATCAGAAATTGGTGCACTTCAATTTCTAGTATTTCTTCATGTAAGCTCACCTCAGCAAAGTGCTGATATAAATATTTCTTTGATTGATCAGATAAATCTTCAGCTCCAATCTGCTTTGCAAAATAATGGATACCTACACAGTTGGAGGCATCCATGTGGTCCATCATATATTTTTGACACACACTAAAGACTTCTTCTATCTGCATAAAATAGGCAGCCATAGTTACAGTCTGCACATTGGCATTATTGATCTCCAACACTGCATTATACATGTAATTTAATATAACTGACACACCTTCTGCTGTGATGTCATAAAGTATGACTTCCCTTTGAGTACATTCAAGTAGTCCACAGGTAAACATAGCTTTGAAATAAGGACTAAAAGCAGCCAGGACCAGTCTGTGGCAAGGAAATTTCTCTCCTTCTGCTATGAGTATTACATCAATCATTTCTGCTAATTCTTTCATGTTCTTAACTTTATTCAGTAAATTCAAACTATGTTGGTATTTTTCTTTTCCCCCAATCTTGCACTCCATGATACACTGTCCAATGTTTCTAAGTAAGTCTTCTTTAAATTTAACTTGATTCTTGAGGGGCTATTTGCATTTCTGATTACTCACAAAGCAACAGAGGTGTCTTAGAAAATTCCTGAGGGAAAGAAAAGAAGCAGTTTTCTTCTAAGGAAAAAATTCTCTATAATTTAAAATGCAACATTAGTTCTAAGAAATATTCATAAATAAATATTATTCATTCCAAACCAGAGTAGTTTAAGATAACTACTTTTTTCATATCTAAAAATAATGTCGATTGTATAAAGAGTAAAATTTTAACCACTAACAATATTTTCCAAATCAGCAGCAGAAATTTTTCTAGGAGGGTTGGAAAGTCCTCCCTCCTGTGGTCAATGAAGAGAGAAGTGATAAGATGGGCACATTTTGCAATTTCATTTCCAGTTACCAACTACAGCTGCCCTGCAGGCAAAGGGTACAGAGACTTCAGGTATGTTCTCTCTGAGGAGATTCAATATCACCTAAAAGGTTATGTTCACCTCCCTGCCAAATGCACCCAATGTTAAAACAGCAATTCACAAAATCACAACAGGGGCCATGTAGGATGCCTGGAAAAAAAGAATCCATTAAAATTCTCAAACTTTGCTCTGGGGCAAGTAATTCAAAACAAATGCTATGGGAAACACAACCAAATGTCAGCTGATCTGAGGCTTCACAGTTCTTGAAACTTACAACTAAATCATCCTAAACTTAGAAAATACACAAAAGTCATCCCGTTTCTCTCTCCTCGCTCCTTACTCAGTCTCTCTGTTCTCATGGTGGCACAGACTGTATCACTTCTTCACTTAAAAAGCACTAGTTTAGTTAAAAGTCTCTTTAAACTAGATGTCTCATCTTCACCTTCCCCAGAGGAATGGAAACAGGATGTTCAGAGAAAGATAATTAGACATTTTGATGGGATAAAGGACATTTCTAAAGATTTTTTTTTAATTGGGGAATTGGGGGGATGGGAACAGTGCTGGGGAATTGGGGGAAGGGGAACAGACAAGTTGTGTCGTTTTTGTTCTTCAGTCTAGTTGTGGAGGACGTTGTTTCACTGGCCCAAGTTGGCACCATCATTGCGCTCTTCCCAGGCGAGGCAGATCAGTCGCTGGCTTCTGGACTGCCACTCACGGCAGCTGCCAGCCACTCAAGCTGGCTGCTGGCTACACACGGTAGCCCAGGGCAACCCACTGCAGCAGGGGCTGCAGCCCACGCCATCACCGGCGAC